TAAGCCAAGTAAAGGTGGGAAAAGGAGATCATGAAGAAAAGTACAATTTAAAGACTATTATCTCAAAAAAGATATAACACTAATACATTATCTAAACTTGAGGTTCAAATTCCTGAGAGCTGTGTATGTATATAAACACTGTAACAATATATTTTACTGTAATCTTCTTAATTCCATTAAAAGTATACTTTATCCTAAATTTAAAATTCTGTCATAATTTACTCTTCCTCTACTTGTTCCAATCCAGTTTGACTTACTTTCTTCTGTTGAACACACAGGAAGATATTCTGAAGAAAGCTGGAAACCTGTAAGCATTGACTTCAACAGTCAATACGGATTTCTTCTTCTTTTGTGTTCAACAGATTCTGAACCACTTGAGGGAGTAAATATTGAGTATATTTTCTTTTTTGGATGAAATATCCATTTATGGGAGCTTTATATCTGCCATGATAACTTCTGATGCTGAAAAGTTTTTTTTTTTTTTTTTTTAAATGTAACGTTTGTTAACATTTTAGTTCACTGTAAAACCCAAAAAGTTAAGGTAACTCAAATGTTTTTTTGCAAACGGTTTCCTCAAATGGTTTAAGTTGAAAAATAAACTAATCCTAATGAGTACTGTGAACTTAATCCTTCTGAGATCAAAAGCAATTTGAGCACAGTAAAACCCAATAAATGAAAACTCAAATCAACTGAGTACTGTAAAATCCAATAAGGCAGCTCAAACCATTTGAGGAAACTGATTGATACAAACCATTTGAGTTAAAAAAGTATTATATGAGTACTGTCGACTTACTCTATTTAGGTTAAAGTAATGAGCTGTTTAATTAACTCATAACCTTCAACACCAAGTTTACAGCTCTTTTCAAATTAGTCAAATTAACTTTCAGTACATTTTGAGTTAACTACTGTCATTTCCTTTAATAAAGTTGACTGTTGGGTTTTACAGTGTAGTTTATTAGAAGCAATTTATTGTCTGGATTGGTGACGTGAAGAGCAAAAAAAGTTGAAACAGAGATAAAGCTGACTAATCCAACACATAATTCAAATTGAAAACAAAAATAAATGTAATAATCTGTGAATGACACAGAATCTTGAACTTAAAATAAAGAAGCATTATGAAAAAGTGGATACAAAAAAAAAGGAAAACATTTAATAATAATAATTGTAATAATAATAATAATAATATTCATATTAATAATAATAATAATTCCTTACATTTATATAGCGCTTTCCTGGACACTCAAAGCACTTTACACCTTTTTTGACGGCAATCTCCTCATCCATCACCAATGTGCAGCATCCACAGAGTGATGACGCCACTTATGATATGGGTATGGTTAGGAGGCCATGATGGCAAAGGCCATGATGACAGAGGCCAGTGGGCAAATTTGGCAAAGATTCTGGGGTTAAAACCCTTCTCTTTTCCAAAGGACACCCTGGGATTTTTAATGACCTCAGAGAAATAGGAGCATCCAAAAGACAGCGCTTACAAAGCAGTATAGAGTCCCTTTCACTATACTGGGGCGTTAGGTAAGGCCACAGGTTGAGCATCACCTGCCTGCTGGTCTCATTAACATCATTTCCGGCAGCAACCTAGCTTCCCAATGTAATCTCCCTTCCAGGTACCCGACCGGGCACAGCCTTGCTTAGCTTCAGATATATATATATATATATATAAACTTATCTAATTTCTACATTTTTAGCGTCTCTTTTGCTTTAATGATTTCACCTCTACCTGTTAGGAAGAAAAATAAATTAAATGAGGCATAAAAATTATAATTAGCAAGAGAGAGAATAGCAGAGAATGTTAAATCTTTATTTTTCATTAATTTTTTATTTCAATCTTCCATGTAATATCATTTGTTTTCATTTTCCAAAATATTCATCATCTGAAATAGACTTGTGTGAAGATCAAACACTTTGATAACGTTTGTGACTGTCAGCTTGAGCCATTGACAGCTAAAGAAACAAAGCTCCAACCACAACTTCTCTCCCTCTCAGCCTTGTTTTGAAACAATGCCGGAGTGGCTATCAAAGAACACTGTGGCTATTGTTTTACAAAAGCTGTCTTTCTCTGGAGTAAAACCGCCCAAAAAAAAAAAAAAAACAATACACAAAACAGAACGTTGCTCCTCATCTTGATGAAAGGAGAGATGTGGGGGCTTTGAAAACAACAGAAACACAAGGCCGACTCTCTTTGGCCTTTTGCCTGTCAGCTGAGGCGTTTGCTCACTGTCCTAAAGTTGAAACAACCATCACAAAACAACACAAACATAAACACATGAAATGCATGACCTACCTCAACACAGCCTTGCATCAGAGCGGCTCTTCGGGCTATGGAAGCAAAAAGAAGGCAACATATTGTCGGAGGTTATGTCAACACATTCGCCAACAATCAATAGTGTCAGAATCACTTAGATGAGCGTGTCTGAAATGCACAGCGCGGAAAAAATACACACCAGATGGACTATAATGTGTCCTGTGATGAAATGCTCTGTGATGCCGCTATTTGTAATAAATAATTCAGTCAAAATCTCCGGACTGAGCGGTTGATAAAGTGTCTGTCAAGCTGCTTTGCCTCAGTCTGAACAGAATGTGACGCTTGTGTTTGCCTGTAATTGCATATTTGATGGAGACATCAGAAAACAACGCTATAGAGAGCCACTGCCGCTATAGGGATTTAAAAACTGTGATGATGTCAAAGAGGACCTTCATTGCAAACGGAAGGAGAGTGTAAAGGTAACTTTTGTACATTACGGACAATTTGATTCTTCAAAAGTTAATAAAAATATTCAAATTTCATTCATAAAACTTGTTTAAAGTTTTAAAAATATTTTTTCTCCAAATTGGATGGATGGACGGACGGACGGACGGACGGACGGACGGACGGACGGACGGACAGACGGACAGACAGACAGACAGACAGACAGACAGATAGGATAGATAGATAGATAGATAGATAGACAGACAGACAGACAGACAGACAGACAGACAGACAGACAGACAGACAGACAGACAGACAGACAGACAGACAGACAGACAGACAGACAGATAGATAGATAGATAGATAGATAGATAGATAGATAGATAGATAGATAGATAGATAGATAGATAGATAGATAGATAGATAGATAGATAGATAGATAGACGTACGGACGTACAGAAAATAAAATAAAAAAATTAAAGTAAAATAAACAACCTAGAGGCCTTTGTCTTTCATATTACCTGCTTCTTATACAAATGATCAACTAAGTCAAGTTATTATTTGTTGTTGCTAAAACTTGGATAGGCAACAAGACTTTTGTGAGGTAGTGGGTATAATGCCTAGGAAAAGTATGGAAAATCCTTACAAAAACTGATTTTTTATACTTTGTCTAAAAACCATCAGGCATTGTTTACAATACCAGAATTTCACACATTGCTGGTAACATATTTTAAAGGTAATATGTGGAATTTTAATTACGTGTTGACGGATTTTAATTACAATAAACTATGTCTTTTTATATTACTATTTTACAAATAAATGTTGTTAAACACTATAACCACCAGGGTAACTTCCATCCATTCTGTATCCGTTTTCAAACAAAATAAGAAAAACTATGAAAACTGCAGTTTTTTTTTTCTTTTGCTAAAAAAAAAAAAAAGAAAAAAAACGAGATTTTGGCTCAATTGTCATTTTTAGTTTAGGGTAAGAAATTTAAAATTCATTATACAGGCTGTGCTAAACAGCCTTTTTTCTCTGATTGGTCAACCAAATCTGCGATGTCAAATAATAGTCCTATATATATACATATATAAAACTAAACAAACGGTATCAATTATTATTATTATTTAGGCCTACAGTACTGTTCTGAAACACTGATGCAAACAAGGTGCTGCTAGGAAATGGTTATCTTTGCTCAGCATCTAGTGCACAGCAGCAAGATGTTAGGCCGCAAACTATGACCTTATTTTAATGACAAATGTGTAATAACACTGCTAATTTACATTTTTATTTAATTTATGCATACGCAATGAATGTAAGCCTGTTCACTGGTCAAATGATAGAATATGTAAACTTAGTTTATATATATATATATATATATATATATATATATATATATATATATATATATATATATATATATATATATATATATATGATTAAATAATAATAATTAAAAGCCTGGGTGCTGATCCGCAGAGGGCTTTTATTTTAAGGGCGACATCACAAGCTCAGATTTGGTTGACCAATCAGAGGAAATGAGACCAATGCTGCGTTTCATCACCGCCTACATGTGTATAATGAATATTATAGTCGTTTATCTGTTTTCTTACTCTAAACCAAAAAATTAAAAAAGCAAAAGAAAAATGTCAGTTTTCTTAGTTTTCCTTTTTTTTTGTTAGACAATGGATATAGAATGGATGGAAGATACCCTGATTCATAACCTAGGTCAACATAACCTCAAAAAATGTAAATCAAAAATGTCATTTTTTATTCAATCACCAAATTAAATAATTATTTTAAAATAATGTTATATTATACTAAAATAATATTTTAAACAGTGAGTTCTTTTTCATTAAACCATTATGTATATTTTAACAGATAGAAAAATAAATTTCTTCTGGAATATTTCCAAACATCTTAGCATCCCTGTGTGTCCACCTGATGAACCTCAGCTTAAAATAACCCAGCTCAAGACACTGCCTAATGAAAAGTATGATTTAACCCAAATGACACTTACGCATTCTGTTAAAACTGTTTACATGCCATTTTTTTTCCTTTACATTGTGCCATATATAGAATGCCTTTTGTGGCGTGTTGTGAAAAGGTCATGGCTGAACAAGGCTCGGTGTGTGTTGGTAAGGCTCGTGAGGTGAGGCAGATTTGTATAGGTAAACTCTAGCATTGGGGAATAATGGCAGAGTGGCTTTAGTTGTCTTTAGAGAAATGCATAATGGGAAAGGTCTGTGACGTTTTCAAAGGTAAACTCTAGTCTCTGTGACGGGCCTCTGGCAGCAGCGTTTCTACATCTCTAGAAGAGTATAAAAGCTCCGGCCGCTCTTCTGTGACTGAACGGCAGTACGGCGTCCACAACCTGCTCTGCAACCATGGGGAAGGTAGGCAATCAGAACGGTACCACTATAGTTAGTTAGTTAATTAGTAAGTAGACTGGTTAAAACTGCTATTTGCATAAGACGGTATGAGTTATTTGCCACATCATGGACGCATGCGATGAACACCAATGCTGAAAAACTCTGCATTCAATTCGGCAAAAAAAGGCAGCTGGTGGGCATTGCTGTTCTTTAGCAAATGTGAGCTGCTATTGCTCAGCACTCTTGTTTTACATAATGGAGATCAGCAAACAGCATCCCATACTGGTTCCATCAGGTCAGACATACCTTGTGCTGATGACCCAGATTTTTTTCAGCAGGAATCATTGGCTTGAATCCAATCTTGACAAACTAGAGAGAAGATAGCATCCTGAAATTAAAGGTGTAGAAAAGTACATTTATATATAATATAATCTGAAAATATGATTAGAAAACCAAGTTTGCTTTATGGTATTTTGATTCATAGTCAAAAAATAAGTAAATAAATATACTAAATAATATATATACTTACTCCCAGGGCTGTTTATATCGAAGTTTATATTTAGCCACACCATATTGGCGTTTCGTAACATCTCATTTTTACGAGCTGGGTCGTTACCCCAATGCTCAACCCCTGATCTGGAGGATCAGGATGTACACACATACACTACGGACAGTTTAGCTTACCCAACTCACCTATAGCACATGTCTTTGGACTTAGGGAAAACAGAGCAATATACATACAGACTGTATAGATATTTAAAAACTTTAAAATGACTTTCATCTTCTTAAATTAACTTTAACTTAAATTAAAATGGAATGAGGAAATATAAAGCAGAAGAATAGATGGTCGAGAATTTTATTAAATAATTATTTTATGATTAATGATTTAGTAATGATTTAGTGATCTAGTGCCGTCTAAAATGAACATTTTTCTCAGGTTCCAGTGTGTATGTAAATTCAGTAATTTCACTTTAATAGTAGGTTGTTTATACTTTAAGGTTCTTTTCATTGCAGTTAAACTGAAATAAATACTCAATTTAGAAGAAAAAATCAGTCATGCTATATTTAAGGTAAATTTCTGCCTATTAACTAAAATATACAGTTGAAGTCAGAATTATTAGCCCCCCTTTGATTTTTTTTCTTTTTTTAAATATTTCCCAAATGATGTTTAACAGAGCAAGGAAATTGTCACAGTATGTGTGATATAATTGTTTTCTTCTAGAGAAAGTCTTATTTGTATTATTCCGGCTGAAATAAAAGCAGTGTTTTTTTTTAACCATTTTAAGGTCAGAATTATTAGCCCCTTTAAGCTATATCTTTTTTCGATAGAACAGAACAAACCATCGTTATACAATAACTTGCCTAATTACCCTATTCTGCCTAGTTAACCTAGTTAAGAAAATGTCACTTGAAGCTGTATAGAGGTGTCTTGAAAAATATCTAGTAAAATATTATTTACTGTCATCATGGCAAAGAAAAAATAAATCAGTTATTAGAAATGAGTTAATAAAACTATTATGTTTAGAAATGTGTTGAAAAAAATCTGCTCTCTGTTGAACAGAAATAGGGGAAAAAATAAACTAGGCCAATATTTTAAACTGTATAAATGTTACCTCAGTAAACTATTAATTTGCTGCTCATTGGTAGATTTTTGACATTTCCGAGATTCCCATGGATTCCTCAATGGTGTTATCAAGACTTTCAGAAAAAGGAAAAAAAAAAATAGTGTGAGTGATGACAGCAGCCAGAGGAGAGAATAAGGTCAAATTTACTCTGAGCCCCATTGACACTGCACTAGAAACACCTCGCATAAGTGGTAATTGTTTTTTTTATAATTTGAAGCAAAAATGATATAATACATTCATTAATACATATAATGTTCATATGTTTTTTTTTTTTTTTAATAATGAAGATATTAAACACTTTCAAGGATTTAAGATTAGGATGACTGTTAAACATCAGTCTTGTGAGAAAGCTCCATAACTTTGATCTTCTCTGAAGGTGGCAACTTCTAGCACTGATCCATCAAAATGCACTTGTTTACTGAATGAGTTTTGACAAACTGAATCAGGATAGCCTTTTCTTCCCACTGTACCTTCTCTAATCACCATCTTTCTGTGGTCAGATTGTCTTCTACGAAGGCCGCAACTTCCAGGGCCGCTCTTACGAGTGCTCCTCTGACTGCTCCGACACCTACAACTACTTCAACTGCTGTAACTCCATCCGTGTCATGGGAGGTCACTGGGTGGGTTACGAGAAGCCCAACTTCATGGGCTATCAGTACGTCCTGGGCCGTGGGGAGTACCCTGACTATCACCACTGGATGGGCTTCAACAACTGCATCAGATCTTGTCAGATGTTCCCCCCAGTAAGTCAATCAAACTGATGGGTTTCATTTCACACAGTTAAACACCTTCACACAAAAAAAGCAACGTCAATCAATCAGTCCTTTGAAGTATTTCATATATGCAGAGGGGGGAAAAAAACAGGTTCACAGGTCCGCCAGGAGATTTAGTTATTTGAAATGGAGCAAGACACACTCGGATGACTGCGCAGCTCATCATCATTCCATTCATCCCTGCTTTTTTTATTTTTTGGCAGAGGAAGAATCATGACACTGTCACTAGAGTTAGTTCGACGAAAAGTGACTAAACGTCTACTTGAAAATCTTTGAAAGTTGTAGGTTTACAGCAGGAAGTCATGTTCAAAGGCTCTGTTTTAAACAGCGGCGTCAAGAATGCAGAGCTTTGCCTCCCAAACGTTCTGACAACTGGTCTCTCGAATGCGTTGATTATTGACTCCTCTAAAGCCCTAAACGCTGTTTTTGCTCTCCACTCAACAGTACAGAGGAGCCTACCGTATGAGGATCTACAACAGGCCCGAGATGTACGGACACATGATGGAGTTCACCGACGACTGCCCTAATGTCTACGATCGCTTTGGCTACCACGGCATCTACTCCTGCAACTGTATGGAGGGCTTCTGGACCTTCTATGAGCACCCCAACTATAGAGGCCGTCAGTATTTCCTGAGACCCGGAGAATACAGAGCCTGCAGCGACTGGGGTTGCATGAATCCCATGATTGGCTCCTTCAGGAGAATGAGGAGCAGTTTCATGTAAACGCTGTTTTGCCATTAAAGACTAATTAAAATGGGTTTCGCATACTGCCTTTTCTTCATTACACTCGGTAGCGAAGAAAACAGAGTTTGTTCAGCTTGCCAGTTGTTTTTCAAATGAGAGATCCATTGATCTACTTCCCAGTGCACATCAAAATAAAGACTGAATGTCTGTTTCGAGCCAAACCTGTCTTTTCAAAACTGACATTCATTTTAGTCTCATTCCAAACCATGAAACGTGGCCATTTGAGGGGATAATTTATATGCAATTATATATTAATTATATAATTCTTCTTCAGACGTTATGTTTACTATAAGCAACTTTGCAAGCAGTGTTGGTAAGTAATAATAATAATTATTATTATAATAATAAACATGATAATAATAATAATAATGATGATGATGATGATGATGATGATAATAATGATGATGATAATAATAATAATAATAATAATGATAACGATATTGGTAATAATAATATTAATAATAATAATAATAATAATGATGATGATGAGGATAATGATGATGATGACAATGATTATAATAATAATAATAATATTAATAATAATAATAATGATGATAATAATAATAATAATAATAAAATAAAAATATAAATAAAATATATAATAAATTTAAATAATTAAAAAAAATACATAAATAAAAAATGCAAAAATAAAATAAAACATAGTTTAACATTATTTTCCTTACTAACTAGATAAAAAATAAAATAAAAGCAACTTAAGATCGTAATATATTACTTTTATTCCAACACTTTGCAAGTAAACATCAACTTTCACGAATCCTAACCATTTTCTTCTAATGAGAGTTACCTGTACTATACAATAATCTGTAATGTTACTTATAGTGTACAGAATACCTAAAAAGGAGTGTTAAAATAATAGCATGACCCAATTTAAAACTCAAATCATTTCATATTCCAGCATTTTATCCTCATTTATGTGCCCTGCCATTTACATGTCTAAACTAAAAGCAGAGTTGGCAACTTTTTTGTCAAGCGCCGAAAAGTGCAGTGGTGCTGTCTTTGAAGAGAGAGAGAAAAAAAGACACAAAGGGGGGCACACGACGGCAGATCTACAGTCGCATCCAGCCTATACAACACATTGTGCTGACCAGACAGAGTTTTGTGAGTCAGACACAAAGCCCTGATCCATGCCGGCTCTATAAAGAGGTCCTGACCTCAGAAATGGTTTGGTCTGCTCACAGAACAGTCACAATGTCCAAGGTAAGTGTCTAAGTTTACCTTTGTGTAAATTGTGTCTAAGTTATACAGATGGAGATGTTATTATAAAAGAATAGAGATTAAAAAAAAAGATGGAGATGTTATTGTAAAATTATAAACTTAAAGCCACAACAGATATTACCAACAGACACTGATAGAAGCAGACAATCATTATACAACCTGAGAAGTACCAATTTAGCATGTCTAAACTGAATAATACAAGCTCCGAAAAATGTGTCCATTACTGTCTGTCAGAGTGTGATTAACCTTGAAAGCATACCTGTAATCCTGCGTTGTTCTTTCATTCTCATTGACCAACAGATTACTTTCTATGAAGAGAAGAACTTCCAGGGCCGTCACTATGATTGCACTGGAGACTGCGCTGACATGCAGTCCCACTTTAATCGCTGCAACTCCATCCGAGTAGACAGTGGTAGCTGGGTGGCTTATGAGAAGCCCAACTTTTCTGGATACCAGTACATGCTGTTCAAGGGTGAATACCCTGATTTCCAGCACTGGGCTGGATTCAACGACTGCATTCGCTCCTGCCGCGTGGTTCCTGCTGTGAGTACTGTACAGTCAGCTGTAGTAGAAAACAGTACTGATTGATACTTTTGAAACATTATTTCAATCAAAAAGCATGATGGTAATACGTTTACAATTTGCATCAAGTTTCAGATGAATTACATATAGCTCAAGTCGCTGCTTACTTTTTATTGCAGCTTTATTATTTAGTCTTAAGGAAAATCTGTTGTTTGCTATATTTGCATAATTTTCAGGGTTCATACGATCATGGAAAATCTGGAAAAGTCTTGGAATTTTGACATGGCATTTTCCAGGCCTGAAAAAGTTCTGGAAAAACAGAAAAACCCACAAAGTTTTGGAAAAGTCCTGGAAATTACATTTACATTTAGTCATTTAGCAAATGTTTTGTTTAAAGCAACTTAAGCTGCGGTCACACTAGAGCTTGTGCATGCAAAATTCTGTCTTATGGCGCTGCGAAAAGGGGTGATATTAAACAATATGATTAGACGTTAATAAAAGTGAGCGTTAATAAAAGTGCTCCATATTCAAAATTTCTTATTTTAAAATGTATCTATTCGTCTAACCCAATTACCTGATGTGATTTCGCAGGTAAGAATTCACCAAGCCACAGCGAATGCAGTGAAATGCAAAACGTGCAAAACGCACGTGGTTGCATTTCCGGTCTGCCGCATTTGCATGCGAAAAGTACAGTGTGATCGTGGCTTTACAATAGAAGTAGTTTTACCTATTATCTAAGATTATTACTAAGATTATCTAAAATTAGTTTGACAAATATCTCTAAATTGGAATGGACGTTAGTTGTTTTTACGTTTCTCTTCTTGGCCAAAAACATGCTCTCACATCATTAGTGCTGTGTAAGCATCATCTGTTTCACAAAGATATAAAAATAAATTGAAACTATTGCGTGTTTTATGATATGCTGTAATAAATCTAAACGTTCATAGTTTTTCTTATGATTTATCAACTATACGTAGACATTATATGAAACATTAGGTCATGAAAATTAACTTAAAAGTCCTGGAAAAGTTCTGGAATTTTTGCCGTAAAAATGTGTAAGAACCCTAAATTTTACTGATCAGTATCAGATTTTCTTTGCACAATAACTGTTGAATTGTTTAACAAAAAAAACGAAGGATTTTTCAACTACTGATACTGTATTATCACTGTATTTTAATACAATAAAAAAAAAAAGTTTGAAAAGAACAAACTTTAGTGTTGCCTTCTAAATAACAAATCGAATGATTTTTGAATGACAAAGGCACTCACTGTTTTACACTTAATTTAAAAATGATTGCCATTGATTACATAATTGTGTGACCAGTGTCATACAAGTCGTCTATTATATAAAGTGTGCTTTAATCAATTTTTTTAAGAATTCAAAAGACAATATTACAATATATTAAAGTGAACATGATGATAATTTTGAATTATTAAATACCACCACATCTATTAGGTAACATTTAAATAAATTTGACAAGAATTTTTTGTGCACGTTTTACATTGAACTTGCATTTTAAAATGCTTGTATTAAACTACATTTGTAATTAATTTATGTAGGTACATCTGTAAATACAATACTGGCTCTAACCACTTAACCAACCCATTCAACAAAAGCAAACTTCAACTGAATTCCACCTCATTAGCAGAAAAAAAGATTTGATTTGTTTGAAAAGAATTTATGTAATGTTAAAAACACCTTCACAATAATAATAAAAAATAATAATTAAAAAATATCTACTGTTTGCAAACAAGTTTCCTTGTTTGAATACTCACCTCGTCACTCATTGGTCAGTTGAATAGATATAGGCTTACGTTTCGAGTCTCTAAAGATTAATAAAAAATATGAGTTTTCGCCTCTAGTAAAGCTCAATTAAAGCTGTACTGACTGTGAAAAGTCTGATGCGTTTGGTTCTTTCAAATGTCTTACTCAAATGCCTTAAACTCTTACGTTGTGCTATATGTCATCCAGGACAATGTTATTTTAGTATCATATTCTTTAATCTTTAAAAAAAAAAAAAATATATATATATATATATATATATATATATATATATATATATATATATATATATATATATATATATATATATATATATATATATATATATATATATATATATATATACAATTTCCAAACAAGCTTCCTTGTCTGAATACTCACCTGTTCACTTATTGGTTGGTTAAATGAATATAGGCCAACCCCAAACTCGCACTATTGGCTGATCCAATGAGCATAACGCCGGCTTGATCAAACAATACAAAATATGAAATTTTAATGAAACGATTCAACTTCATAAATGATTATGCAGTAAAGAAAAAAATCATAGACTTTACCTAATAGAACACCATTTTTTTTCACCCACAGTACACCGGAAACTACAGGATGAAGATCTTTGAGCGCGCCGATTTTGGCGGTCAGGCAATGGAGCTGAATGAAGATTGTCCTGACCTGCGCCAGCGTTTCCACAATGGCGACATCTCTTCAGCTAATGTGATGGAGGGCTACTGGATCCTCCACGAGCACCCCAACTACACTGGTCGCCAGTTCTTCCTGCGTCCCGGCGAATACAGGAGGTACATCGAGTGGGGAAGTCAAAGTCCCACCATCGGCTCCCTGCGACGTGTTACTGACCCCAAATGAAGATCCAAATCCAAAGCGCAAACACCTCTCCCAATGTGTCGACAGCACCGCCTGTCCATGCAATGACCATGTCTGACCTTCGGGGCCTGTGGATCTGTCGTGCTCAATGTATTTGTGATGCTTCTTGTAATGCGGCACATTTAGCTTCGCTTTAAGCAGAGCTATCTGTCTTCTTCGGCATTGACAATCGTGCAAATTGTGTATTTTATCTGCACCCTTCCCTTCCACAAATACAACTGGAAATAAAGGAGAAATTGATTAAAATCAAACAAGTTTGTCATGCAATGAATGAAAACATGCCAAAAAATGTTGTAGACGCAGCACACATCTATCGCCTTGATCATGCATGACGTCAGCTTGAGCCTGAGAGACAAAAGAAAATTATTAAGGAAACGGCTCGTTCTTTGAACAGAGTTATTAAAGAACAAAAAAAGGGGGTATCTGAGGATGGGAGCGCAGAAGACTTTTATAAGATCACATGATGTCTAGCAGACGCTTTGGGCCCTTGAAAGAGGCCCCATATTAGCAGCACATCATAGGGCAGCGCAGACTCAAAGAGGAAAAGTCAAAGTGGCCTGGTCTTCGCCCCGAGCACGCGGCTCTCTCTCAGAACACAAAACAAAACCAAGTCCATATCTCAGCTCATGCATTTTTCATAAGGTGCGCATACCCAGCTCTTTCAGAGATAAATATCAATTATTGAAATTGTTAATTAGAAGCCCGTAATTGGCAAAGATACAAATGAATAAATAACTTTGA